GATAGATAGATAGATAGATAGATAGATAGATAGATAGATAGATAGATAGATAGATAGATAGATAGATAGATAGATAGATAGATAGATAGATAGATAGATAGATAGATAGATAGAGGTTCGGAAGCCAATAGGCTCTTGGAAGGCCATGTGCGTTCAGTGTAGCAACACAATTTGCCAATGGTACCTTGGTTTTTTGGAGCAAATGTGTCAAGCATAGAGAAGGTTATCTTAAAATATCCAGGAACATGTTAGTAGACAAGAGCAACTAAGCTGCCACATCAGACTAGCTGTTTGCATTCACATCTACTGCTCACCAAGAGAGTTCCCAAACCGTTGTTTGCAGAAAGAATGTCCGTGTGGAAAAGAATTAGTGGAGGATTATTATTTTTTTGGTCCTGGATTTGACAGTTCTCACTGAAATAGCATTTTTGCATATATACACAACCAACCAACCTATACAAAGACTTGCTACAACAAGACATATTTCATGGTGACAGCGCCACACCTTTGCACATGGGCTTTTTGGAGAAAAGCAGACACAATACTATGTTGCCATTCAAAAATACAAATCAATGCATTGAGAGGGGGAAATACTATGCACATAACTGAAAAAGTTCACACCTTATTCTATGGATGACAACGAGTTAATTAGTTACAATCCGTACATAAATGCAAACAAAATGGGGCCAGCATTTTGACATGCAAACAACTGAAAAATACTATATGTGCAAATCCCTGAATCAATGTGGGAAAATGTGTAAGGTGCAATATGTAAATATATGCATATATTAATTAAAATGTCACCTTAAATCCATGCACCAGATAAAATATTTCTGAATTTCAATGTGGGAAATAAAAATGATGTTTCTCAATTGGATTTGAAATGAAGATAGGAAGAAAATGCAGGTGGCATTGGAAAAAATGCAGACAGGGATTTCTCATATTATTTACTCTCATTTCTCCAAAATAAGTGGTTTCTTCTGTGTGAAGCAGGTGCTGTCCAAAGCTTCTCACATGTCACCCAGCCGAGGAGAATTTATGAAGGAAATGACAATTTAAAAATTCCTTACTGATCAGTAGCGATGGTCATAAAATATCCATAGAGGCTGTGGACATCGTACTGTTTTCCCGCCTTCTGCACTGCATCCATGCAAAGTGTCTTTGAATACATGACTCCATCAATAATCTCTGTGGAATAATGAGAAGAGGGATTCCATTGATGAATATCTCTATGGTAACCATTTTGGTATATAAATTCTCAGATTGGTTTATCAGTTTTGTATGTGTAAAACACACAATGTTCAGAAAGGCAGGAAAGTATGTGTTTTTTCCCATCAGACCTGCTATGCTAGATTCAATTAAATATGTATGTATTATCTTTGTTGTTTCCTTGAGATGGTTTGCTTGCACACTCCAAGTCCCCTGATTTAATGTTGTGTCTTCCTAAATATCCTAGCAGTCAATATATAATTACAAAAGAATTCATCCATTAACTTATAACACTTTAATAAAAATACTGCTGTTAAGTAAGAGTGAAGGTTAGCAGGCATGAGTATACTTCAGATACTTTAGATACTGAAGAACAAGCCAGATCATTACATTATGAACCATGGTCTACAGAGAAGGGAAGATCTGAAAGCATTAAGTTGTCTTTTCAGCTTAGTGGTACCCAAAACAAAATAGCTGCCACATACTACATACCAGGGAGGGCTCCTGCCAACCTAGCAGTTTGAAAGCATGTAAATCCGCGAGTAGATAAATAGGTACCACCACGGTGGAAAGGTAATGCCATTCCATGTCTAGTTGTGCTGGTCACGTGACCACAGAAACTGGCTCTACGGCTTGGAAACAGGGATGAGCACCGCCCCCTAGAGTCGGACACGACTGGACATTTGCCAAGGAGAACCTTTACCTTTACCTTTTACCTAGCCAGTAGAAGTAACTCTGAACAAAATAAAAGAGAAATGAACAAAAAATCTTGCCATTTATCTAGATTATGATTCATTCATAATCAAGCATGGAGTGGTCGCAAGACCAGATAGGCGGGATATAAATAGAATAAATAAATAAATAAATAAAATCATGTTTGGCTGTTGGTGTGTAGCCGACAAAAGGTTAAAGAACAAAGCTCCTTCTCATTGTTTTTAAGGAACTACTATGACCCCTTCAAACTTGACTTTGCTCCCATGTATTCTTTTTGGGTTTCAGATTGCTTTTACGATGGATCACAATGGATCCTACTTGGCCTTAAAAAATGAAGGCTTCAGAGCTATTCTTGAGATACCTGTAATGTAGTCCTAGTTCATAATAATCTACAATACTGAATATCAGTATAATAAAGTTATATGCAGAAACCTTATAAAAATACAGTAATTCTGCAGTAGTATAGAATGTGATTTTGAGAGCAGAATTAGGCTTTCTAAGAATCTGGCTTCTTGGGTAAAGTATCCTGGGTTTTCTTTTTTAAATTGTTTGGATATAGTCCGTGAAAGTCATAATTTGTGTTACTATGTGGATTTCAATCACCAATCTGTTTTTTGTATTTTCCCTTAGTGGAAGTGAGTGAAAAAAGAAATACAAAAGGATAAATTAAACAGGAAGGCAATTATTCGGTTAATCTTTGATTTGCATGATTTAAAGCAGTGGTGCCCAACATTTGGTCGTGGACTAAAACTCCCAGAAGCCTTTGCCACTAGCTGTTCTGGCCAGCATTTCTGAGAGTTATATTCCAAGAACATCTGGGAACCCAAGGCTGGGTAGCACTGTTGTAAATCACAACTCAAATGGCACTATAGCTCCAATTTAATTGTGCCTTTGAGTGGAATCAAGTCGGTAGCAGAAGAAAAATTGTGCAGTTTATAAACTTTGTAACGATGTTGCATCTAGTTTAGAAAACTCAGATCGTAATTCGGGGAATGGCAGACTTTATTGTAACAAATATAACAATTTCAGTTGCCAGCAGAAGTTCCCAAATATTACGCTCAATATTTAAGGTTCTAGCCCTCAGTTATTTAGTTACTTGAGTATTAGAACAACGATCACATGAGTACGCCAAAAGCTTGCTTTTTTAATTACTCATCATAAGACAAACCGAGCGGGTCTAACTTTTGATTCAATAACTTACTTGGAGTATAAGGTGGATAATTTAAATTGTTTTCTTCACAGCCCGTTCGGGATCCTTTAACAAAATTGGATACTTCATTCATATCCTAGGACAAAAGATTTGTAAAACTGTGTAAGTCTAGGTTGTAATTTAAATCTTCATGTTTAGGTATCTGATTATGTAATAGCTAAGGAAGAGTGCATTAAACAGCTTAGGTAATCATTACACTGGAGGAGATGGATTTAACTATGGAGGTTAACTGGATGTACTGCTGTACTGAACCTGTAGCAAAAGATAGAGTTTATATATTTTAAAAATAACTCTCATTGCATTTCAAAGGTAATTCTATACATTTTATGACAGAAACTGTAGACTCAGCGGTGATCAGATGTGCATTTAACAAGGATCTGCAACAATTTTGCCTTTAATTATTATTATCCAACTAGGATGGAGGCAGGTGTCTCATTCCACAGTGTAGGTTTAATATCTTCCACTTTACCAACTATAGAGTCTCTGTAAAGTTATGAATTGCATTTTCTGTATGATGCTTGCATTGAGATGTCTGTGCTCTTTAAAAAAGGGGGGAAACTTCCTTAACAATTCATGGCTGAAATCCTGTTGTTTAAGTTATGCCTGTGGAAGGGTGATGACATCATCAGCAGACACAGACTTATGGTAATCAAATTCATCCTATTCTGCCCCTTGATTTGTCTGATTCATGATCAATCTGTTTATCATGTGGAAGTTGTTGGAGCCACAGGACAAAAGGAGAAAGTACTTTATTGCTGAATTGTCTCTCTAGAGGTGGTGAAATCTGGCAATTAAAGTCTTCTTCCATCACCTTTCTGCAGGCATAATCTATGGAACAGCATTTTGGTTTATGAGTTCATCAGTAGTATAGTTTATCATTTTCCTACTTCATTATCCAGCCTAAAGTGCACAGAGGTGTGTGAGAAATTCACAAATGTTAAGGGTTTCTTTTACAGATTTTTCTAATCTCAACTTCCCGAATAGAGTGTGAATCTGACAACAATTATTGGTTGGAAATTTGTTGATTTTCAGATTTGCCATGTGCCCAACAGAACAACAATACACAAATTGAAGACATATGTGTGAAGAAGAGTACACACTGAAAAAGCAGAGCACAGAAACTTGGGCCCATTTAGGGGGAAAACACACTTATTTTAGAACCTATATTAGAATACATTGACTAAACTGTCCTGAACAAGTACACACTGAAAAAGCAGAGCACAGAAAATTGGGCCCATTTAAGGGGGGAAACACACTTATTTTTTCTTTTTGTATGGCTGCAAATACTTTGTTTCCTATATTAGAATGCATTGACTAAACTGTCCTGAACGACCACAGTGTTGTTTGTGAACATTTTGTGAACGTTTTGCTATTTGCAAATATGGTGAAGAGGTTTCAGACATTTTCAAGTCAGTTCTATATAGACTTTCTTCCAAAAGGTATAGTATTAACTAAACCAATATTTACAATCCACAGTCCATCAAAGTCAAGGGTGTTGTGTAATGTTTTGCTCTCATTAGTCCACCATGTAATAGCATCAGGATTTGAATAATCAGGGAAGACTGCTGTTCCTGGCCAGACCTATAGTTTAAAATAAAATAAAAAGTAATCAATACAACTTTCAGCTATACATGGGTATTATCTTTCATTTCATTACCAATATGCCATCCTGAACACACTGGATCCCATCTGATTTTTAAAACTAAACATGGTTGGGGCGATTAATACTTGGATTATACTAGGGATATTCAGGTAGATCTAAAAAAAAAAGTCTTGCCAGAACCACAGGTGAACAATTGCAAGTCAGAACAGGTATTACTGGATCAGATGGATCAAAGATCTGATGCAGTGCAAGGCAGCTTCTTATGTTTCTCATACGTCATGTGTCAAATTTTATTTTTTAATGAATAAATCTTTGGCTGTTTTCCTTATGGTTTCTCTATTTCTCAGGTGAAAAGCACACAACTAAGATCTTAAAGGATTTGGTCTTAGTTGACTGTTCTATAGTATGATTCATGAGCTTCTGATGCAACAGTAAGTAGGTGTTTCATGTTTTCATAATTGTCACTCTCAGCTGATAAGAGCTAAATTATCAGCATAGATAACATTTTTGGGGGAATGTTATAGATTGGTTAGTTGGATTTCTTGTTGTATACCACTGAAGAATCAGTGTTACACAACAGAATCATCTGGGTACCAGTCCTTTAAAATGCTCCATCCTTTAAATGCTTAAATGCTCTTCAGAAGATGAGAATAAACCATTGTTTGATTGTTGGTTAATAACAGCTGACAGAAGAGCCAAAAGACAGAGAAAGGATGGAGTAAGGGTGGAGCTGAGTTAAGCCAGTTCCAAACTTCCTTCAGTCCAGAGACATAACCACTGTAGAAAAGTCCTAAATAGTTTCCAACAACACCAGCGTCAGGAATGATTTGGACCCACTGGTCTAGCTCCTATTGACCTGTCAGCTGAGTAGGCCCCCCCCAGTCAGCATGGCTAAAAGGAAGTCCAATTTGTCAGCCAATCCTACAAGACAATAATAAAGTCCTCTCTTCCTTTTCTCCTGATAATTGTACATTCTTGGCCTCTGACCTTGGAATAGAGATAACCAATAACATCTCACAAAGGCATATTTTCCCTCCTGATTTCATAATTATAAAATGAGTTTTTTATAAGAATGCCTCCCGCAGCTACTTACCTCTCCAATAAGAGGGTCTATTCCATTTGATGCATTTACCCACACTTTCATCCGTTCACCATTTATATAGGCTTCATAAGGGGTATTATTGCGACGATTCCCAGTAGAAATGGCGGGATCCTAAACCATTGGGAACAGAAAACATGTTTGTTTCCAGCCTTTTTACAAAATTATGAGCCTGGCAAATCAACTTAGGCAAGTCAGTCTCAGGATAAGTAATAAGAAACAAGGAATTAAATAGCAAAGCAGAGGGTCTGTCAAAAACAGTAAGGGCTTGATTAATAATAACTTTCCTGTTCATCTGAGTGAAGTATTACAAGAATGCTGGGTAATGATGCTTGATGAGTAGCTGCTTGCTCAATATTCCCAAAACTCATAGGATGATTACTTTTTAGCACTTGAATACTGAGGTCAAAGGCTACATAAGCAGAGAAATGCTATCATAATGGTTATATATTATGTCCAGCACCAGCATCTCTTTCAATAACAATTCCTGAACCACATAACTGCAGTGAGATTCTTGCAATTCCTCCACACATGAAAACCTGCATAATGTACCTTTAGACTACGAACCCCAAGACCCCTCAACCATCTGGGGTTGAGAGGAATTGTACTCGTAAATGAAATTTCCTGAACTCTGTCTCTGTTATCTGCCTCCTAGCATGCATAACTCTCAAAAGGCTATTATCGTTGCAGTGTTTAGCTTGGGAGGTCTCTTAAAATGAGTTACAAAAATAAAGCCTTTTTTGTGAAGACTTGAGAGGTAGGTTCCCCTTGACATTTAGTCCAGTCATGTCCGACTCCAGGGCATGGTGCTCATCCCAGTTTCCAAGCCGTAGAGCCAGCATTTGTCCAAAGACAGTTTCTGTGGTCACGTGGCCAGCATGACTAGACACAGAACGCCATTACTTTCGCACCGAGGTGGTACCTATTTATCTACTTGCATTTGCATGCTTTTAAACCGCTAGGTTGGCGAGAGCTGGGACAAGCGACGGGTGCTCGCTCCGTCACGTGGAGTCGATCTTACGACTGCTGGTCTTCTGACCCTGCAGTACAGAGGCTTCTGTGGTTTAACCCACAGGACCACCATGTCCCTTTAAAGACTTGAGAAGTGCCCAATGTTTTAGAACCTAAGGCAGGACAGAACCATCTCCAGCAACAGGTTTCTGCTAGACATGGGAGCATGCCTGGAGAAGTATGGGTATAATTGCCCCTTGATTTGCCATTCTTCTGTGTCACCCATTTTGCAAGACACTTCTTGTAGCATTGATCTTGTAGAATTAGGGAGATAATCAGTGCAAACAAAGCAAGAAAGAGGTACTGTTTTGAATCAACTGTGGCAGAAAGCACTGCCATGTATGGTGTAAGGAAAGAGCCATTTTGCAGCTGAACAGATGGCCTGTTTCAGTATTGAAAAGGATGATAGTGACAAAGATCAGAAAGAATGAATAATTTCATCAATATTTCCACCTGGAGAAGACGAAATTGTAACATACAGATACATGGAATTACCAATATTATTGCATATTTCTGTCCATGGGCATGAAGATCTTGAGCAAATTCTGGGAGGCCTGCAAAGTTTATTTCATCATAAGTAAAATCTTTGGCATCTTCCATGTAGTCAATGTCAGTGTACTGAACATCCTAAAACAAAATTAAAGAAATTGTATAATATTATCAAAGAATGACAACAACAATAATAGTATAGGTTACAATGATATAAAACACACAGGATAGCATAATATTAAATCTTCTTAGTTGTTAAATTGTTTTACTTGCACAATTCCTATTTAGATTTGAAACTAGACATACAGTATATTTACCAGTAAATGAAAGCAAGTTAGGAGGAAAGTTTACCAAGTGCTTACAGATACCATCGCTGAGCGAATGCTCCAGCGATGGCCCAGAGTGCCTCGTTAAGCGATTTCATCGCTCAGCGAGGCACTCGTTAAGCGAGGCACCACTGTATTAAATCTTCTCAGTTGTTACATTGTTTTACTTGCACAATTCCTATTTAGATTTGAAACTAGACATACAGTACATTTACCAGTAAATGAAAGCAAGTTAGGAAGAAAGCTTACCAAGTGCTTACAGATAAATTTCAGCTTATTAAGCTAGACACAAATAGTTTGGGTTTTTTTTTGAAACTAGACATACAGTATATTTACCAGTAAATGAAAGCAAGTTAGGAGGAAAGTTTACCAAGTGCTTACAGATAAATTTCACCTTATTAAAACTAGACACAAATAGTTTGGGTTTTTTAAACTGCTTGCAAGAAATCAGAAGTGGCTTTCTTTTCTCTCTCTTACATATGTTCAAGTCTTTCCTCTCCCTGTCAACTTTGATTTGGCAAAGTTATTTGGGTTTTAGACACTGATTGTAGACAAATTCCAAATTCTTATTCAGTCATAAAACTCACTGTGTGACCTTAAGCCAGTTATTATCTCTTGATGTACTAGGACTGTCCAGGAGTATCTTTCATCAAGGTTTTAAAATCAGCACCTAGTCTTCATTTCAAACTCCAGTCTAATATGATGGATAAGCCATGTTACAGTATGGGTAAGTAACATGTAAGCTGTGAGTCATATGCAGCCTAAACATGACTTCCTAGCTTAGTCAACCTCAAAAAATTAAAAAAGGTGTGCATACTTCTCAAGATGTAGAAGCAATTCTGCCATGTTTTGAGGAAACCCTGTGACAACCTCATTTTTAATTTTTTAAAAAACCTGACTGCTAAAAGGTGAATGGATATCATTTCTGTAATCCACATGCCCCTGGCACAAGAATCTTTTTTGAGAATTAGGGTTATAGGATTGCTTGTAGTCATGGGATAAGCATATGTGGCCTCTGCATCTATGATAATAACCCACCCTGGGTTGCAGATAGCATGTTGTTAGAATGACAGGTTGAAAAACACCTGAATCTTGTAGCACAATCATTTCACATGTCTATAATATGCAAATTTCTATGGGAGACAGTCTTATTTTATGAGAATGGTTGAAGTGACTGTGCTTTAGCTTTTGTACAGAAGCAAAAAAAAATAGTATCACAATGGTTTACAGTTTTTCAACAGGGTTTCCTGTTGTGTCACTACACCTTTTTTCCAGTGAAAATTAGAAATTTTGTGAATATTCATGAAATCTGTACTCTGGGGCACTAACATGCTTTCATCTTCTAATGCCACGATGCCTGTAACATGTAGTTCAAGCCCTAGTTAGCATTAACCAATCCTAGTTATTATCAGTGCCCTATAGTTAATGGTGAGAAAGAAAAGAAAAAGATATGGTTTGTTCAACCATGATTACATAACTGCAAACACTGCTTCTACATTACGCCCCAGTTCCTGGACTTGACAATACTGTACTACGAACATGTCTTAAGACCACTTTCCTATAAAGTGGCTTGTTCATATGTATATTTTCATTCAGTCAATTCCTCATTTTGCTCCTAGAGTGGACAATTCAGAAATGGAAGTACTTTCCAACTGTGCATTTTCATGCATGTAAAGACTGAATAAGAACCATTTACTGTGTGTTGCATAAATCATTTCTCTGCCTTCCATTACCATGGTACCCTACTGTGCAGCATATTCTAGGTAATTTCTACTGTAACATGTAAGAAAATAAAATGAAATGTGGCCTTCAAGCAGGGGGTGGAATCACAGGGATTAATGGTATATAGAAATTGGTTTCTCCCAAACCCAGTATCATTAATTGTACCAAGAAAATACCTACTTGCTATCTGATGAGACTGACATTTTCAAAGTCAAAAGTAGTGTCTTTCCCCACTGAAATCACTGAACCAAATAT